ATATGTTCCCTTTATCTAAAATAAGATGGTTATAGTTGCAGGGGTTTGTTTCTGTATCCTTGTTTCTTTTCTTTTTTAAAAAATTTATTTATTTACTTATTACAGGGTCTTGCTATGCAACTCCACTTACAGTGATTCTCCTCTCTCAGCCTTCCCAGCACTGGGATTACAGGTGTTCCAGGGCTGGCACTGCATGTGGTACCGACAATTGAACTGGGGTCCTTGTGCTTGCCAGGCAGGTGCTCAGGCTGCTGAGCTATCTCCCCGGCCCTGTGTCCTTGCTTCTATTCTAGTGGCCTGTATAACTATTTCTGTGTCAGTCCCATGGTGTTTCTATGGCGTTGAAGTATAATTTGGAATTTATTTTTATTTTTATTTTATCTATCTATCTATCTTTTTTTTTTTTTTTTTTTTTTTTTTTTACAGGGTCTGTCCTTTTTGTGGGCCCTGGGATTAAACTCAGGACCCAGGCAAGTGCTTATTCTACTGAGCTATCTCCCTGGCCCCTATTTATTTTTTTGTGTGTGTTTTAGGGAAGGGTCTACAGGGTGTTCAGGGCCTCATTACTAGATCAGACTCTAGTGATCCACCTCTTTACAGCCTCCCAAGAGCTGGGATTACAGGTGTGCGCCACCATGCCCAGTCTCAATTGCCATCTCAGTGTGCCCTGGGTGTGGGGCTGGCACAGCAGGCCTGGGGAGGAACCTCTGGTCCCTGCGCCTGGTTTTAATCCACTGAGCTATTTGTGAAGTATAATTTGAAACTGGATATTGTTTTACAGCTTGCCAGATAAGTCTGCTTGCTCTTGGCAGGTGTCCTGAGCAGACTTTTTTTTTTTCCCCCTCTTTCTTTCCTTTGCAGTACTGGGGATCAAACTTTGGACCTTGTACTTGCCAGGCAGGCACTTAAGCCACTGAGCCATCTCCCCAGCCCCTTGAAACTGGGTATTGTGACCCTTGTAGCTTTGCTCATTTTTCTCAGGATTGCTTTGGCAGTCTTTCTGAGTCTTTTGTGTTCCCATAAGAATTTTAGGTTGGTGTTTTCTAATTTTGTGAAGAATGTCATTGGACTTTTTCTTAATGTATTTTTAGTACAGGGTCTACAGGGTCTCACTGCACAGATCAGACGTGTAGTGATCCTCCTGTTTTCAGCTTCCCAAGCACTGGGATTACAGGCATGTGGCACCATGCCTAGTCTCAATCATCTCAGCACACCCTGGGGGTGGGGCCAGCATGGGGCAGGCCGGGGATTGAACCCTGGTCCCCTGCATCTGCCTAAGCAGGCGCTTTAATCCACTGAACTGTCTGGCTGGCCCTTCATTGGACTTTTGATGAGAATTGGATTGAATTTGAAGATCATCTTCAGTAATATGTCCATTTAACAATATCCTAGCAAGCCAGATTTTTTTTTTCAATCCAGAATTAAGAGGCGCTCTTTCCATCTTCTTGTATTTAGTTTTTTGTTTTTTTTTTTT